GCGGGGCCGGATCCCTGGGGCACTCTTGGGGTGTAGGTGCCAAAGATTCCCTGCTAAGAGAGTCGTGAGCAGGTTCCCGCCTCCCCCTGCCACCACGAAACGCTCCTGCTGAGCGTGGAGAACAAGGAGGCGAGAGAAGAAAGCCCCCCCGAAGGTGGCCAAACCAAAAAGCAAACAGAATCCGAACGGCTCGTGTTTTAGTGGTTGACTTTAATTCTGCACTGCACTTTTACTACAAGGATATAAAGAATAAATAGCAGATACTCTTCATTTACATAGGATTAAGTCATTCAAACTGTTCTCTCTATTTACAATAACATTGTGCTCTAGGCGTTTATTAATACTTTAAATCTAAAGGAAAAAGGAAAAACCACACACACACGCTTTCCGAATAATGGAAAATAGCTTTAAAACGTTTTCTTATCAAAAAAAGTTTGGTTTGTATTTTTTAATCCTTTTATTAAAAACAAAACAAAACAAAAACCCAACAAAAACCTACTTCGCCAAAACGAAGCAACTTCTCTCCGGAATATAAATACCCCAAAAAAAAAAAAGATACATTAGCAACGATCAGGGTAATAGTCTTAAAAATACAGTAGACGCTGATTATTTCACGTATAATACTGACCTTTTAATAGTATATTAAACCGGTGCCAAATATACACACAATATACATTCTCCTACACGTTACAGTGCATTACAACGTTAACCAGAAAGCAAATGTCTTTTATTTTTGTTGCAGCAAAGGTCCACGTGAGTCCGCTGGAGAAGGGGGGAGAAAAGGTAAGTGCCAGCCCTAGCAGGAGCACTTGCACTCCGAAATGATGGGGTACTGGATGGGTATCCATGTGCACCTCTGCCCTCCCCGACGCTGGCACCTCCACCTCAGGATCGTTAAATGCACGGACTTGGCAGGTTTGCAAACCATCCCTTCTGGGACCGAACAAGACCTTTTACTGTAGCAGCTGCCCACTTTGACGTACCGGGGCCAAAAGCGGCTGCCGAGATCGTTCCACGTGTATAGGACCGGGCAGAAGGTCTGGGACCAGAGCCACATCTGCAGCTTCCTGCGCAGCTTCTTGCTCAGCCTGTGCTTCTTGCCCGGCTGCAGCCCGTCGTAAAACTCCAGCCCTTTGATTTCGCTAGGCATCGCTCCCGAGGGTCTCTGCCTGAGCAGCAAGTCCAGCTCGGCTAGATCGTCCACTCCAAGCCGGTCCTCGGGCAAGGAAATAGCCATAAAGTTAGGGTCGAAGTGTCCGCCCATGAGGTTCCTTAGCAAGGTCTCGTTAAGATCCTTCTCCTTGGGGTCAAAGATAGGGTCCGGGTGCTCGATTAGATCCACCAAGGGCAAGTTGTCGCTGGGAGCCGGTCGGATGTGCAGATAGTGCTGGCAGGCGCCTTGCTCTAGACGGAGACCCAGCAGAACCACCAAGGCGTATATAGTCACAAGGCACTGGGAATGATCCATCCTTGGGAGACCGGTGGGGGGGGGG